GTTGAACCCTCCTATATATATATATATATATATATATATATATATGTCAAAGAAATTGAAACAATTGTGTCAAGAATTGAAACAATATTTAAAAGTCAAAGAAATTGTTTGCTCTAAGAAAGATTTTGTTTCCATTCTCTAATTTTATTAATGATTACAAAAATATAACATCTTTTTAGCTTCGTTTTTGTCTTCAAATATTTGTGTAAGAAATGGTAAAAATAAGAAAAAATAGGTTTTTACTGTCATATATAAATATTTAAAAACTAAAAAAATTATTTTGTTATTATTTATGGAAATAAAACATTTTATTAAGTAAAAATAAACACTAAATTATTATGTAATGATATATGGGTAATTTTTAAATTATTTCAAACACGTTTTCCTTTCCATGAGGTATTTTGGACTTTTGAAACATTAACACTATAGTTATCAATGATGGGTGTGTGGCAATTAAATTACCGATTATTTTTTCATAGAGAAGAAATTATTTTTTGTATAAAGATTAACGCTAATATGTTGTGAGAAGAAATTACATTGATTATTTGTGTTTGTGTACTGCAATTTGCTGTGAGTGGATCTATGTATTTGTTATGATTTTATAATCTGTCACAGAGAAACACTCTTGTTATTCTTTGACATTACAATATTCTTGTTTAACGAGAAATGTGAATTCAATAATATTGTTGTACTTATCTCAATTGGCACTTCTTGTGTGCAATTGACTTTATTTAATAAAATTGTTGCCTTCCAAAAAAAAAAATAATCAATGCCTTGAATTAACAGCTATATAATGTGAGATATCCTAAGTAGATATAGGCCGCTGTTGTGTGGGTCAGCGAACATACTCTTAAAATAAAATCTATTTATTATTAACAGTTTCTTCATTTTGATTAGCCCTTATTAATAAAAGTTGAACAATATAGTATAACTATTATCAGTATAGAGTCTAGACTAATAATAAATTGTATTACACTATAATAATATGGTGTAGTAATGATATATATTTCCTATACTAACTAAACTATTTATTAATATAATGCATCATACTATTAACATGATCTATAATGTCTATACAAAGTTTAATTTTTGTTAATTGAATCATAATATTTCGTAGTTGTGTTTTGTGCATCGTTATATTTAATAAAGTTTAAAAATATTGAGAATATACACTTGAGTTCATGATTTGGTCAAAGAATTCTTCTTCTCAAGATTACTCTTGTTTGAGTGTTGTTCAAAGCACACATTATTACTTTCAGTGGTATAGGAGTTGCTTAGAATTTCCGGAAGAAGTACTGTCTATTGTTGAGTCTTCCTCTTGAAGAAAGTCCTTTTCAATCACATTTCCAGCTCCGTGTGTCTGCCTAATTATGCTTAACATAAACAGAATTGATTAAATTTATAAATTCATCGTATAATGATTATTCCTTAAAAAAAATCCCTTCTCCACTTTACCCACACACACCCACATCTCTCACTGTATCATTCATATTTTCCTACAAGTAAAATTTAATTAGGTGTTTATTGATTCAACCATAGTAAAATTGTTTTCAACAATTAAAACCACCTTCCTTGGGTGAAAGGGTTGTTGGGCAGGAAAAAAACATATTTCCTGCTATGTATAACTATAACTAATTAATAGATAATTAGTTAATTAAAGTAATTAATAGATAATTAAAGTAAAAACCTTGGGTGAACTATACTAGAAATTTCTTACTTTCTCAATTTACTTTCTTAAACTTTTTGTATGTATTACTAAACACCTCTAAAGTTTGGAGTAAAATAAATAAGATGTTATAAATACAGTTAAAACGTGATTAATAAATTTAAAAATGTAGTTAAATTAAACAAAAATATTATGGTAAGATTAGTCTTTCTTTTAGTAATAAATTTCATTTGCTTATAGAAAAAAAATAAAGGAGGATGAGAGAGTCAAATTGATATGAATCTAGCTATCAAGGTCATTTATTTTAAATATTTTTAATCAATAGGACAAAAGATTTTTAAAATTATTAGACCTGATAAATTCATGTCACAAGTTTTGCAAAAAGAATGAATAAGGGGTTTAATGATAAAAAAAAAGTACAAAATATAAGTTAAAGTGTAAAATTATATAGAATTGGTGTATAATTTATCCTAAAAATTAAACAATTCTATCATAAAGTTTTTTTTTTGTTTTTTTTTTACCGAACAAGTTGGATGACACCATGATGTTTTTATTCATGCAAACATATAGGATAATGATACACAAATACTCATCTAATTCAAACATTTTATTAACATTCATCATCATTTATCTTTTGTCTTATTTCTTATCACATCATGTCACTTATTATACATATTTTTTCTCTTATAATCTTCTCTTCTTTGATGTCAAATAGATTAGTAGAACCTGCAAATCATTTTTAAAACATATTACCTTTGTTTTATTTTTTTTATTAGTATTGATCAAAAAATAATAATAATAACATTGCCATGGCTGTATTCGTACAGCATTGGTCCAAAAGTTTTGGCACCATATATATGCAAGTTTTAGAGTACGTTATCCTAAAGAGTTTTGGTCAGTGGAATATGGGGAAACGCATTCTCAATAGATATGCAAATTTGGAAAGCATATTTGCAGTTGCAGACATCCAAAGGTTAAATTAAGTTTTAAAAAAATGCTTCTATATTGCAACCACTTTTAATTCAGTGACTTCTCACTCTGATTATGTGGGTATAGAACTATAAATTATAGCATCAAAGGATATGATTGTATGTAATTAACAAGTACTTTTGCTGAATAGTGAATACTCTTTGCATGCAGGGCTTGCACGAACGACTTACTTGGATCGTGGAATTAATTTGCCAAAGTGAACGAGCATGTCCAAAAGTACCATCTCTACTGCTTCGAGTAAAAATTATCACAGAAAAATATTGATATCCCATTTAGTACGTAGTTGATCTGAACATCAGAATAATCCTTTTGGAGCAAGTTTGGTCCTTAAATATATGTACAACCTTTGTATGTTCTTATCACATATTAGACATCATTCCCAAAATAGAAACGGTAAGAATGGCTAGATTTATAGTCGTTTACTACTTCTATTACTACTATTACTCTCACACACATACACGTATGATCCAAATATCCAATAGGTGAAATCTCTATCACACACTCATAACAAATCACTTCTTGAGATCTCTCATAACAAACGGTAAGAATGGCTAGATTTCAAGCTGTCTAACAACAATGAGATCTCTCATAAGGTCATTATTTTAGACTGATGATATGAACTATATAACATTTACTTTTACACATCTTGAAGAAGTAAAAGAGTTGCTGTATTTGAGGCATTTGTTGAAAGTTGCGTTTAAGACATCTACAGTAGTAGTGTGTGATCTCAACGAGAAGTAAATAGGTATCATTTTGATTCTACTGAAAATGTTGCGAAGGAAATCAAATGTAGCCTTTAGTAAGGAGTTGCGAAAGTTATCGCAATTAAACTCTTCAACCATTCTACACAATAAATAAGTCTTCAACCATTCACCCCCCTAATAATTTTGGCTATTCAATTCGTTCACAATAAACTACTCCCTCTGGTGGTTAAATTAAAGTGTTTGCTTGCTCTTTTTCATAAATTCATTTCTCTCAATTTAATAATAAAAAATTGGTAGAGTATATATAAATTTAATATTATTAACTAAATTAATCAATTTTCTTAATTATGTAAACAAGTTAATTGGATCTTATAAGAAAAAACATTAGTAACTCTGTCATGTATTTCTCACCATTTATTAACTAAACTACATACATAGAAAAGCCATATTTATTTGACACTTATTTTGAAAGTAAAATGATAGAAATTATATTTAAAAAGTTGGAAATATGTTATTTTAATTTAATGAAATTATTACCTTCAAAGAAGAAAAAACTCATGGGGAAATTTCTTTTGGGATTAGGAATTGGGATGCTTTGCTACTCTCTTTTTTTCGTAGACAAGAAGAAGCTACACAATTTCAACCTACATGTTTATTTTGTCTTAGAACATTAATTTTTAAATAAAGCATTGGTGGAGTGATAAACACAATTTTCTTGAAATTCAATTATGAAACGAATCATTTGACTTAACAAAATTAAAATTTGTAAAATGCACAAGCATTCCTGGGATTTTCTAACCAAAAGAATCTTGGATTTAGATTAGGACATGTTCAGTTAAATTTTTCTAGGAATACTTTTAACAAAAAAAAAAAAGTGAAATTATTTTTTTTTTATAAAGTTAAATTAGCTTATATACAAGTTAAAGTAATTTTTTTGAGAAATTATTATCAGAAAATTTTCACAAATTAACTTATAGTGAAACTAATTTTATTTTATTTTTGTTATCTTCTTAGTGTTTCTGAATAGCTTTATTATAATCGAGTCACAATCCTTATTTTGCTTATTTTAAAAAACGGTCTTTACATTGATTTTTCACAAAGAGCAATGCCTTACTTTTGGGTATCGGAAATTCAAACATACACCATGGTGTACATGGCATGTTTGCATAGTTAGTTATCAACTAGGCTTGTGAGATGTATAAATTTTTAAAACTAAGGTAATTATTCAAAATTATTATTATAAAATTAGTAAATAAATACAAAAGTTTGGTAGATTATCACCACTCTCGAGATTTTTTTTCTTTCTACTTTTTATGAACATTACTCTCGTTTCTGTAACGAGGTTGGGCTGCGCATCAATTGTAACGAACGAGCTTTTCCATACCACCCACGACTGAAGACCAAGAACGAGTAGAAGAGTATATACATTTCACAAACACCAATTTTGTCTCAGACTAAGATGAAAATGGCTTATCGAACAATTAACAAAGATTGAAAATGTCCGATGAGAATAAAAATCCGGAGTCGAATTGTTCAGAAATGTTTTTTTGTTATATTAATAGTAAGATGAGTGGTAAGAACCTACCCAGTTGTTTAATTAATTAAAAAACGTAAAAATAGTGCGCGGTTGTTGTTGTTCTAAGGACTAAAACCAGGTATTGGAAAGCGATAATAAGGGAGGGCATTTGGCATAAGAGTGTTATACATTGGAGCATATTCTATATCGGAGCCAAATTAGGCCTAGTACAGTTGCTGAATTAATTTATAAGGACTAATAACAACAAATTAAAGGCTAGCTAAAAGAATCCAAAATTACTCCAGGATAAATTTCTATTGCAGATATTCCCTCATCACAGTATATCAGCTGAAGATATGTACTTTTCCATGATTAGAAGCAAGACAGCCTTTCCAGCACCATCGCCCACTTGGCTAGCTATGCATATCTGCAGCAACCAAAAAGTTTGTCAAAATACTTCATCGGAGCTACGAGACATATAATTGAGAGATGTTCTATCAAAAGTTTTCATCACTTTAAGTGCCAAATGTTTAGACAAAAAGAATAATTCACAACTAAACTTTAGGTATTATTTCATTAGTTATATAGATCATATCGTAGACCAAAAACATTCCTACAACCATAGAAGTATACTATATGTTTCAACTTTCAAGTCAAAGGGAACAAGACATTTACTGCACATAAATGTAAAAGTTATAAAAAAAATTATAAACGGACACCTTATTTGGAGCAGCTGGATACCATCTATACATAAATGTAAGCAAAAGGTATTAATAGCTTTGACTGGGTGTATTAATAGCTTCTTTTTTGGGGAAGCGGGGTGGAGGATAACTAAATCCCCAAATAAAACTACATTTATTGAATGGTATCATTACAAATTATGCATACATCAAGAACAGAGCATCGTAATAGCTTATTTTAAATCCAAAACCCGTAGTGTTGACACTTAACAGCATTAGTCTGATAACAAAGTAAAACAAAGTAAATTTGAAAAATCACAAGTGGTAGACCAGCAGATACATTTTAGGCCATATAAGTGATATAAGCTATAACCTTACCAAATATAATCAATCATAAGAAACAGGGTAAAAAAAAAAAAAAAGACAACCTATAAATACGTATTACCATTTTCCCCACTGTTTTAAATTTTGCGAATATTATGACTGAAAACTTCACCAAAGGAATTAGTCCACTGGTTTCCAGTTCTCTCATTGTTATTCTTTTAATCCTGTGGGAAAATTAAAACTTGCACCCTCCCCCCCCCCCCCCCTCTCCCCC